GGTCAACATTTCAGGTGCCGATTCTTACATAAAAGTTGTGATATTGAAGGCGTTAGGCTTCCTTGGCTGGACTCAGCTCTTGTTTGTTCATGAATGGAGGATTTTCTCAGTTTGTTTTGGGCCTTGCACCTTAAATCACCCTCTGTTCCGGCACAGCAGCGTGCAGGGACACATCGCCACGTGATGCTTTTGTGAAGAGCCAGACATGTTGAGGATGTGTGGGAGCTGGTCGAGTTGTCTTTGCAGCTCATCTGTACTTTTAGGTCTCTTTTTGAGGATGGGTTTTCCTTCTGGTGAAAAGTCCTCTGGGGTTCCACTGTATCCTCTGCGTTACTGTTCATCTCCGTTTGCATGGTGTCTTTCCATTTCAACTCAAAAGAAAACACCAATGCTCCCTCTCCCCACTTCTCCTTCCTCCCTATCAGTATCCATGTATTTATGTCCTCAGCAGTAAAGGCCAGAGGTAGATATTAAATGTCTGAGCTGATTAATTTTCCGTGACCGTCTGAGCAAGCTGCCGAATGCTCCCTGGCACTTTTATTGCTGGCAATCGACTGCAGATGTGACTAATGTGTTTCTGAGTGGAGCAATTATGACAATCAAAGCGTCTTCAGGGGACGTGAGATCAGCGTTCGGCGGCTCGGCTTCGTCCAGTGTCAGCCACCGACACGCCAGAGGCCTCATCTCCTCTTGACGAGGTAATTGTTTTATCGAGATGAGCCGCCGAGTTAACGAGCTGAGGACACTGACGCATCGCTGCGGTGTGAAACGGCTAACTCCCGGGGATGAGTAATTGCCCCAAACTGACCTATTAATAGAAGAAGCAAACAGTGATCTCATTCTGGGCCGTTCATCATAACAAACTGACTCTATTACTATTGACAATTTATCACTCTGAACAGGAGGCAAGGGGATTTTTCTGAATGTTTCTGCAGTGGGCAGGCTTTAAATGAGGAACCTGAGGAAAAGAAAAAAAAACAGAAGATGGATGGAGATAGAATGTATGGTAGGACAAGGAATTGAATAGAGGAAGGACCAAAAGAAAAACACAAGAACGGTACAGGAGAGGAAATAAAGTAGGAACACAAAGAGAATACAAAAAGGTAGAAGACAAGAAAGAAAAGAATGAATGAAGTAATACATAAACTATCTAAAGGTTGGTAAATACAAAGGAAAGAAGAAGGGACATGACAAAAAAATGAAGGGAGTTAGCACAAAAGAGATGTTAAAGTAAAGGAAGTAGGAAAAAGGAAGGAAAAGTGGACAGAAGGAAGGTAAACATGATGCAAAGAGGGACAAGAAAGGAAGTTAAGAGCAAAAAAGAAAGATGGAAGGTCACAACAAAGGAAGCTAGGAGATCAAGAAAAACAGGGATGGGAGAATGTTTAAAAAGGATGAAAAGTGAAGAACATAAGGGGGAAGGAAGAAATGAGAAAAACATAAGGGAGATGGAGAAATGAAGAAAGGAATAAAAGAAACTGCAGTACACAGAGGAAGCACACAAAGTAGGACAATATTTTACACAATTTGATAGAGAATAAAGTCTGGAAAAAAGGTATTTCTGTCTTTATCCAGGCAGGAAAAATATTGGAATCTAGTGTCACAGTGCAAAGGAACCTTGTTTGGTTTTTCATGTCATATCTAGTTTAAGTTGTTGATGTTACTTTAAGTTTTATTTAAACAGTTAAGTTGATTGAGAGCAAATTCTCATTTTCAACAATGGCCTGTTAAAAAAAAACAAAAAAAAACATTAAATTACATAAGACAGAAAAGTTTTTTTTTTTTTTTATTGCGTTAAACCAGCAGAAACATGGAACATCAGTTGATCTTGTCTGGTGATCAGAATGAGCAATAAGGAGTAGATGTCATACGTACCCAAGGGCTGCTGCTCCATGCCTGATTTACATAGACTGGACATTAAACGAGGTTGTTGGGCGACATGTTTGACTGTCAAATGAATAGTATTGCGCAGAGACTCCTCAGCATCTCAGACCCATATGGAATTATGATTGACGAGTCGAGCTTTAACTGATAGGACTGCTGGTTCATGTTTACACGGCGTTTATCCTTCGGTTACTCAAGCATGGAGTTTGTTTGTTTGTGTCGTCCAAAACCCTCACATTCAGTGGTTTCTATAATTTGCCCACAGCTCGTTAAAAAAAAAAAAAAAAAAAAAAAAACTTGAAATGCATAAGCCCTCTTTTTACTGTACTCAGATTTACAGATCATATTCATGCTGTATTTTCATTCCTGTAGTGGACCAGGCGGCAGAAATATGTGGCTTTCTCCCCTTCACTGTAAACAACCCGGCAGCCTGTACGTATACGCTACAGGCTCCAGTCTGGCAAAACGCTTTGCAAGACTGGTCTGGATTTGCTTTTAAGTCTCTGCCAGCGTACCATTTCCGAATCTGAGGAAATGCTTTGCTCACTTGTCACACAACATGAAAAATACAACAAAATGTCTTGAATACCAGAAAGAGGGCTTTAGGGGGGGGAACGTGAGGCTGGATTACTCTAAATTGAGTTTTTGTGGCGGCTGCGGTGGGAGGGAGGGTTGGGCTGTCCGTGATAATGGGATCTAGGCAAACACATGTTCGTAAGGGCTTCATCAGACACTACTTAGCAAATAGGTGTGGCCAAGAGATTCCTGTAATGGCAGGAATGTGTTTGCTCTCTTTAAAGAAACATTCAAATAAATTAAAGAAGTTTATATTGTCATCCAAGCAGTGAAACGGTGAAAAATCCACCCAGACGGCGTAAGTTTGACGAGGCAAACTTTAAACACAAACTGCATTCTTAAAGGCCAGGAAGTTACAAGACAGCATATTTGATTATTATCAAAATGTTTCTGGAAAACTTAAAAAAGTCGAGGGAAACGCATTAAAGAAATTCAAAATTCAGATTGTTCTGTTATGTTCTGTTCTGATTCACTCACGAGGAAGCCTGCCGACTTGACAGAAGTCATGCAGATAGTTGTGGACACCCTCCACAAAATATATAAGTCATTGCTAAAGCATCTGAATTCCTCCATATTAATGAAAAGATTAGTTGAAGTGGCAGAAAAAAGGTGCACCAGTAAAACAGATAAATACAGCCTGAGAGCCACTTCGAGAGTTTGGGAGAGGTTCTCAAGGCATGGAGTCAGACATATCCGGAACATGACCAACTGCTGCTTGGTGGTCCAAAGCCTCCGAATCATATGAAAGAAAATTGTGCATGCCGCTTGTCCACCAGGGTTTCCGCAGTGCATTATAAGCCTGGCGGGCCACCAGGTTTTACTTGCCCCCCATTAGGCTAAGTGTTGTTTGTTCATTTTCAATAGGGTTTTTATACACTAATGACAGTAAAGACGGATTAAGCTAGGTATAAAGTTTACACACTGAACTGGGCGGGAGGGGATGCACACCAATTGCACTGTCCCTTCACCTTCATATCATGATGGCTGCTTGTGCATCTCTGTACTTTTGTAATTTTTTAAATTTTATAAACACAAAAACATGGTGGGCTGCCTCAACGTCCCTCCCATTGGGCTCGACAGGTTTTGTGGGGGGAAACTCTGCCAACTGTGTTTTTATCATGTCAGTGCAGACATCTACCAGGAAATGTTAGAACATTTCATGTTTCCCTCTGCTGTCAAGCTCTCTTGGTTGATTGATTTGATTTTACTTTGCTCCTGCAGACGCTGTCAACATCACTGAAGTTGATTGGCTGGTTTTAGATCTGATCCAACACAGCTTAATCAAATGGTTGAATTACCTCTTCAAGATCCCATCACATTTGGCAACGACCTGCTAACGAACCAGTCGTTTGATTCAGAGCTATTAAAGCCATCTGCCATCTTAACACCTGAGAAAAACAACATCCTGATCTCTTCCATGTTACGCTGCTGTTCATGCAACATGAGCTCCGACCATGCGTTGAGCTCCTATACTCTGCAAAACATGGGAAAACTATTCAGCAGATCAACATTTCTGAATAAAAATGTAATATTTTGAGATAGAAAATGTGGGGTTCTTATCTGTAAGCTTTGATCATAAAAACTGAAGTAATGAATCTCTATTATATAAGAGTTTTACTTTTTAGATTGAATTACTGAATAAAGTTACACTGATGATGTTGAAGGTTTCTTGAATGTCAAAATGTACAACACTGGTGTCCAAACGTTTTACCCTAGGGGTCAAAATGTGAACATTTAAACTAGTGGTGGGCCACAAAATTCATTTATTTAAAAAAAAAAGGAAGAAAAACATAGTTTGTGACAGTTTTCCTGTTCAACAATAAATCAAGAATCAATAAATCAATACATTTGTATGTCATTAAAGATCCATAACATTAAAAAGGGCTTTGAACTTTTGTCTTATTAAAAGAAAACAGTCAATTTCCAAATTTTGGGGGGTCATCAATTGTTTTCTATTTTGGCGGCCAGATTTTTCTTCTTTTTTTTTTTTCTTAAATCATCATTGACTTGTGGTCATGGCCCAACCAAAATCATTTCAAGAGCCACAAATAGCTCCCCATGCCACATTTTTGACATCCTTGTTCTAAAATCTCTGGCTTGATCAGTTAAAATAGTTTAGAAATTATCAAATGATGGGAAAATAATATTTTAATTTCAAACAAGTCTACCCTAACCCTTCTAGCATCATTACAACTATTCTTTCTTACAGAACAACAGGAAGGTCACTTGTTTGTAACTGCCATGTTGCTGAAATGTGCTATACAAATAAACTTTATTTATTTTTAAAGTATTTTTTCTTTAAATACTTGTGTTGCCCCCTGATGGAAGAGCACCCTAAATGCAGAGTCACACCATTATTTTATCTGCTCTTCCTTCAGACAAGCTGATAAGAGAATGAAAAAAGTAAATGCATGCTAAAACAAAAGTCCCAATAAAGAAAGTTACAGAAATCTAACAGCATACTTTCACATCCATGTCTGCTCTTCAAATTTGACAAACTATCTTAACTTTGTCCCTTTTCTGTCTCCATCTCTCTGCAGAGTTTCAATGCTACCCCACGTTTTAAGATGAAGTTATGGAAAGGTGCTACTTTTGCCTTCGTGCTCTGTGCTGCAGCCCTGTCCACCTTCCTCATTAGAAACATGGCCTCCATCAGAGAGTTCAGAGTCCAAGTGAAACATCCGCGAGCATCTTCTACGTCAGAACCGTCCCCCAAATCCTCTTCAATATCTTCAGCTGAACCACTAGTGCTGCCCTGGCAGACCGAAAATCTTCGCCGGAAGACGCGCTCAACAGGCAACAACATGAACTCCCTACTATCAGAGTGTGAGAAACGCCATTTATTTCGTCTTGTTTGGTCTGGTTTAAGATAAGGAGTCATGGGAATAGGTTGCCACGGTTCAGTCAGAACACTTAGTGTCTGACTCATTTGTTTATAGAGCAGGTTTTAACATCCTAAAACAACCTCTGCACCTCATACTTCACCGACTCTCCATAAGACCTTCACAACAGAAGGGAATATATAGGACTTTTGCTTCATACACCAGTTTATCAGCTAATTGGCTTCAGGGAAAAGTAATGCTTTGTCATGCTGGTAGAGATACGGTGCAGAGAGACAGTGCAAATACAAGAAAAATAAACAAATTAGAGTTCATCTGTTGGCACATGTAATTCATTTTTTGCAGCGACTGTAACGCCCTATCTCACTGAACCATCGGTTCTGTCGAATTCGATGTTTTGAATGTTTGGTTTAAAATTACAAGGAAGTCTGACGAGTCTCCCTTTTGTCACCTGTCAATAACACAGCTGCTGATCTTTCTCATCTCTTTTAGTTTCTGTGATGCTGCAGAGCTTTACGGAGGGGGAGCTTCAGCACGTGCTGGAAACCATGCTGAACAGAAAGAGAAGGAGGGACCAGTCCCTTGGCATGACCCAGACTCGAAGGACTAAGAGAGCTCACAAATCCAGACCCTGCTCCCTTAGGAAGCTGGAACTAACCGTAACTGAACTCGGTCTTGGCTTCAAGAGCGACGAGACGATACAGCTGCAGTACTGCAGCGGTCAATGCGATAAAAAAAAGCTGAACTATGACCTCGTCATGAAGCACATGGTTGAAAAAGGCATTCTTGGGAGGGGTCGGAAGAACAGAGTTAGCAAAGAACCCTGCTGCCGACCCACTAAATTTGAAAAGAGCCTTGGCTACTATGGAAATAAGACCCATAACATAATATCTAATGTATCAGCGAAGAGCTGTGGGTGTGTATGACCCAAAGTAATGAACTTCTCATTTATTCAAGCTGCTCCAAGCCTCTGCTGAAAGATCCAGAAAGGGATGCATAATGGACAAACAAAGGAATATAAACACCAGCAGAGAGGAGGAAACTATGGGGGAATGTTTGTGGCGTTTCCATGGGAACCCTTTTTGACAGAGTAACTTTGAATGAATTCGTCTGTCATCGCCAGTTGGAAGCAGATCACATGGATGGCGAGAGCCGTGTTTGGATTCCACGTAAAAATGAAAAGAAAGTGAAAATGACAGCACAAACAAATACATGTTTATATCTTTTCTATCTGTGTAGTGACACTGTAAACCATGGTGTTAACAGCAGTTTAGCAACATGAGGTTTGTGTCTTTGTAGTCATTTGTACGTGTTTAGATTCAGAACAATGCGCCAGGGTGGATCGGACCATCGCTGTTACTGCACTTCATTCAAACTCCTATTAAAACTTTATTGCTTACATCATCCCAACAAATTACTAGTCAGGCACATAAAAGAAAAACATTGAAGCCATAAAATAAAATACACGTTCATTAAAAAAAAGTCACTACAGCAGAACTTAGATATATTTTGAGATGTGTCCAAAAAGACATTCAGTTGTTTCAGTCTAAGAGGATTTGTATGTTTTATGTACTTATTGTTACTAATTGCAGCTTTATTACACAGGGAACACAAAAGTGTTACTTATAATTTATCAAGAAAGATTTTTGCTTTAGTCCCTGGTACAAGACCCATAACTGCATTTATTGATATTGTGTAGAGTCTGTCAACATGTGTTCTTGTAAAAACTTCCTCATCTGCATTCTGAAGAACAAATATTATACTTTCCCCTAATAATCCATCAGGCACCCCTGGTACAGATATGTACAAAGTCTTTAGTGCAGTAGGATAATCTCAAGGTAATATTTTCAACTTGAGTGCATTTATGATCATACTAAGAAAATATTTATTTTGACATAAATCACATTTGGTGCAACTATTGGTGCACCTTTCTGGTAAAGCATTGTAGCATTGTAATGCAGCACTTTGTCTTCACAGAGCTTTACCTTCAAGGAAATGCTGAAGAGGTCATAGTAGCTTGGTTGACCAGTCCACCTAGGTTTGGATGGGTGCAGGTAACGATCAATTGGTCCAGTTTATAGAGAGATCTCTCTTTGGTTATTGTAGATGTTGTGGTTCAGTTGCCTTCAGCCTCATAAGGCTGAAAATTGTGGCCTGCATGAGGGTCAACACCAAGATGGAGGCCAATCTCTGCCTCAGAGGAGGCATCTTGGAGTTGGGTTGGAGTTGAGCCTCGCCTGTAGTAATTTGATCACTTCTCCAGATCGTCATTTGAGGAAAGAGCACAGTCAAGAAGAAAAGCTCACCATTTGATTATCCACCTAAATCCCACCCTCACCAACGGTTCATGATATACACTAGACACAGGTCTACAAGATCTGTTTGGAAAAACTCCTACTTCTCCCCAATGAAAGATATCAGCTGAGGTGGTTTTGGGATGTGATCAGGATACTGCCTGAGAGCCATGCTTAGGACGTCTTTCAGGTAAATCTTACTTTGAAGAGACCCTACAGCATATCTCTCAAAGGGACCATGCATCACTTCTGTCCAAAGAGTTCTTTGGGAACCCAATAGAACATGATAGAGAACTTAGCTGTGTAGAAGAATATCAGGATTTGCCGTCTAAACTTGTTATTGATCTCAGGTAAGCAGATGACAATGACAGGGTAGATCATCTCTGACCAGTCCTTTTTGCACCCCGTCTCTAAGTGATCTAAAGTCATGGGTCCCGTCTTATGAACTCTGTACTTCCAACAGGTTTTGACTGGATTTAGGTCTGGAGATTGTCATGGCCAGGTCTGTGTTGACTTGGCCACTTGCTTTGGATTTGGCTATCATGTTAAATGATCCTGTATGGACTCATTTTCAGTTTTCTGGCAAAGTTCACCAGAGTTTATTAAAACCACCTGGTACTTTGAAGAGTTAATCTCATGTAGTCTAGCATTCTCAGGACCTCTGAAAGGGAAACAAGCCCACAGGATCATAGATCCTCCACTGTAATTAACAGTGGCGATGATGCGCTTTCCCACATATTCATTTTGAGTGTCGGTGGCCAAAACGCTAAATATTGATGTTAGACTAGGGCGTTTCCCGACATGCTTTCCAATAAAACAGTGATGTAGATGGTGTCTGTTGCTTAGCATGGGGTTTTTCCCTACTGAATAAATGTACTCAAATGTTATATTTTCCCAACTTTTTATATAGGTTGCGATTATGCTACTGAAATAAAGCATTTTTTATTTGTTTGGGGTTTTGTACATATCTTTAACAGGAGTGCCGACCAATATGTCTGCATCTTTACATCCACCAGAATCATTTTCACCAAAGAAAATTTGGCAACAATTCAGAATAATTAAGATAATTTAACTTGTTCAAATTGTAACCCTGGGTGAAATTTGTGACATTTTTCTCTTGAACCAGGTTTAACTGATTTGCAAAGATGGAAAAAAAAGGAGAAAGTGGGAACCAGATGAATGGTTTTAGGAAGAGGTAGTGGAATGTTTTCTTTTTGCTCCGAGAAGCAGAAAGCTGAAGTTTTTACCCATCTGTAAAGCGTTTTCTGACCCGTGACCCACAGTACTGTACAGCCTTTCAACTGGCCCCGAACATGCCTCGGTGTTGTGTTGCCTGGTAGACTTTTAGGAAAGTAATAAGCTGTGTACATGAATAATAATGCAACCTTCTCACCCTCGGACGTCCTATTGTGGTTTGAAATAACTGCCTGAAGTACAGCTATTGTTTTGCATATTTGTTTTTCCTCATGAGAAGGTAAAAGCGAGGGGTGCATCTATGTTGTAGTTTATATTGTATTTATTTTGGAAATAAATTATAGATTTTCATATTTATTAAGATTATCACACATAAAGGGGACAGCTTTTTATCATCAAGCAACTGTGCCAAAAATGTTTTATCTTACACTCTATATTGACTGCTGAATAAAGATAATTTTAAACATGTGGATGCTTATTTCTCCTTCGCTGCACATTTTCAGATCTCGGGTACTTGGTATGTATGGTAAACAGCAAATGAACAGCTAAAGACGCAAGATGTTGATCAGAAGATAAAAGCACCCAAAATCTGCAACGAAAGTTAAGATTTCAGACACACCGATGATCAGATTTCAATGAATAAACCATACAGAAGATTAGAAACAGAGCAGCATTGTCCCAACACTGCATCACAATGTAAGATTCACTTTCTGAACTCATGCTTCTCAACAGCTCCACAGCCAGGGTCTTAAACAGCGCTGGTGACAAAAGCTTAAAGCGCCTGGCAGGTTGCCAGGCGGTCTGAATTACGATCTGCAGTTACAGGAAAGTGGTCGGCTGTCATTTCAAATCTTTAACAGAGTAGGAACTTACTTTTCCTCAGTTTTTAAGAAATAGTTCTGGTTGTGTCAGATCTACAATCTCAAAGATCCAAACCAACCGTGAATGGATTCTAGTCGCAAAGTTGTAGCGCAGCTACAACAGAGATGGCGACTCGAGTTGGAGAATAAAAGACTTCAGACTCGACGCAGATTTGTGTTTTAGACTTTGAGTCCTGGTCTGAGACTCAAGTCATGTATGAAGAGTGAACAGAAGTCTGTATGTGAGCTACTGACCTGTGAAAGGATGCTTTGATTATTAGCCAGTGAAGTTAATTGATTATGGAATGTTAATGGATTATTATCCGTTCATGTTAGCTATAGCTTAATATTAATGACTGCATGAATTTCTTTCCAACTGAATGCTGAACTAAATGGCTTAGGATAATTTCTGAATATAAACTCAATTTACCTCAGACACTCTCACTGTTGAGCTGTCATTAAAACAATATTTCCAGCTCAAAATATCAAAATAAATCACTTACTGTTCCATCTCTCAAAGACTTTACTTGGAAAATGATTACTTCTCTAAACTACAATCAGAATGTTTCTGTTTATGCTTTTCAAAAACTATTAGAAATACTGATAAACGATTGAGGTCAAATCAAAAAGCATCTTCTTAAAGACGAAACATCGAATTATGGCTTAGAACTAATGAGTGTAAGATAAATGGCAAAATTAGACAGCAATGAAACAGAAGATTCCAGATCATTAATTAAAACATCTGAGACAATCAGCATCAACATTAAAAAAAGGGAAGTGGATATTTATAAATGCTTCAGATGCGCTTATTAAATTCATTTAAGCCGCTTCTCCATGGGCGTGGCATTAACCGGTTCTGCCTCAATACGCCCCAGCCAAATTCGTCCCCATTTGCAAATCCTGCACAGCTCTTCCCAGGCTTACGTAACCAATTCAGAGGTAATACAAGCTGTACATCGCATGCAAGCGATTTGACTGACAGCAGATGGCATTCAATGATTGGCCTGTGATTTACATCACTATATTAAGAAAGGCTGAATCTTGCCAACTCTTCAAACAACATCTCAAACCCTGCAGTGTACAGGCAAACAGCGGCCATGTTTCCAGAGAGCTCATGCCCCACCCACAGTCCTGTGTTCCCGCCCACAATAGTGAGGAACACACTGCCAGTGGAGACGGACCCAACTTGGGTCACACCGAATCAGCCAGTGACACTTGACAATGGGGAAGGGGCTTTAGGTAATTAGATATTGGTAAACAATTGCGATAGTGATTTTGTAAAAAAAAAAAAAATTCATAAAAAATGAATTTTTTTTTATTATTCAAATTTTTCTTTAATACATTTCTGTTTCCAATTTTTTTTTTACCAGGTGTAAAAAATGTGGACAGGGCTGTAGGGAATCTATTTTTTCATTTTTGGTGCAAGCCCTTAAAATAAATTACTGGAAAAAAAAACATTTGTATTAAAAAATAAATAAATAAATTGTGTTATGCTTAAAAAGTAGAGATCAAAAATCTAAAATGTAACATTTGACTGTCCATACATTTCAAGAAAGTGAAAGCATAATCTGAAATTTGGTTTAAAGTCAAACAGTGAAAAAAAGTGCTTGGACAATGTCCTTCTGTTTGCAAATGTCAACTTACAAAACAAAAGGACATTTTGTTTTGCAAATGTACAAAATTTTATTTTAGTCTCCATCCATCATGGTAGACATGATGGATTTTTTTCTGTCCAACATGCCAGGATATATAGTTTAATGTGACCCAGAACAAACCTACAGGTCCATTTTGAACTCGTCACTTCTCTCTGACAATAACAAGTACACCTGCTAAAAACAGTGGTGTGCTCTGACTACTAAGCTCCCACAGGTAACAGTACAGACGCCTCTATGGCCTTATCTTCACCTACTGTAAGTTTAAGAGGCTTTGAGGTTTTAAAGAACTCGTAGTTATTTTGCAAAGCAGACTAGTGCACGCAGGCTAACTACTAGTGCTCTGCCCTGCAATAAGTGCTTTATGAGCTAGATATGCCAATACAGCATCTTGGCAGTTTTCTTGTTAGAGAAAATTAAAGTTTTACTTCAACAAACTGGTGTGGTACGGCACTAAGAAAAGGGAAAGCAGAGGAGGCCTGTTTGGAGAATGTGGTTTAATCTGAAAAGCTCTTAACAGTTCGTGACAACGCCACTCAACAGCATGAAAGTAAACGAGGAGGAATCTGGCATTCAGAGAAACTCAGCAGGTTATTTCATGTAGAGGCTCCTCTACTGTATATACAGTGGGAGAAACCCAAGAGTAAGATTTGTTTTAAAAGAGGAAAGCATGAGGAGTGTAATGCAACGTCCAATAAAATGAGGCTGTGGGTAATTGCTCTGCTTGCTTTTTGGGTAAAAAACAAAAAGTGTGCCATTCTTTGGGCTGTAATTCACCTCCAATTAAATGTTACCACCCAATTTTATCCTCCGGGTATCTGCTGAATAAAGTTGCAGAAGCCATCACTGACATTTGCATTTAGTTCTAGTCATTCCCACATGATGCATGTTCCAGCAAATTCCAGACAACACTACTTAGACGACTTCCTGCTCAACTTCAATGAGGCAACATTACCTCTTGGAAACCAAACGTAAACTGTGACTGCAGCGACTGAAGGTAGCACAGAAGTCATGTTCAGTTTAGAGCGGGTCACACAGAATAAACTGGCTAATATACGGTAACAGGAAACTTTTGTATATTCGAGGGCAAAGAAAAAAACAAAGTCTCTTTCCCATTGGATTTTATTTGGCTAAGTTGCAGAACATGTTTCAGCTCGACTGCGACTTGTGTTTACTACAGCTGTGGGGGTGAAATGATTTCAGCAGCTTGTATTTTGAACAATTTGATGTTTTACAGCCAGCTTCAGAAATAACACAGGAGAACATGATTACGACTCATCAAAGGTAGCTCACACAACAAAACATTTGGAGGTAATCAAATCTAAAGCATCAAGAATTTCCCCCTGAAGTGATAAATTTCCCTGTATTACTAAAGAGGCAGTTGGCATTCCTCCAGTATTTTCAATTTACATTCTTGTCCCAGATAGTTTGTCATTCACTGGGTTCTGAAAATATGCTTAATTGCATGCTAAAATGTTTATAAGTTCAGTGAAAAAAGGAACCACTTTACCTCTGACATAAACATGCATTTCTGCAGCAAATGGTCCCAGTCGGAAAAAATTCTGCACAAGCTCAGTGGAGAACGAGACCAGACTAATTGATAAGGCAGTGGTTCAACCAGCTGGCTCTGACTTATAACACCGGGGTGTCGGATGACAAAATTTGATTCATCAAGCACATTTTCTGCCATTTTTGGCCTGTGCTTTGACATGTCCAAAGACATAATCATCACAGCTATTTATTTTCCCTGACGAACTTTTCATGGGGTGATAATAACAGGCTAGACCCAGAGCCAGCAGGAGGTAAGGAAGTCTAATTTGGAAAAAATATATAGAAATCTACTTTCCAGCGACATTCAAGTTAAAATAAATGAAAAATATGCTTGACAAGATTATATTAAACCATGCCACCCAAAAAAAGTGGGTCCAAAACAAAACTAAGCAAATGCTCAAGACCTTCAGTCCAGCAGGGGGCACACTAGAGCACGACAACTGCCACACAAATCATGTTTAAAAATGTACATTTCTTGCATATGTGTCTTAAAACAAAACCTGCTGTGCTGTTAAAAGGCATTTATTCCCTTAAAAATTAATTTTTAACTAAACTGTCACACTTTAATTTAATTATGCACTGAGGAAATGCAAAAAGCACTTTTCATATGATTTTATTTATCAGGGTATGAAGGCTATGCTAACCAAACTGGCCTTAAGTGAAAATATAATTGTCCTTGTTGATAAACAACTTGCTACACCAAGATTTTGCTGGCATCTGACAGGTGAAGAAATCTCAGACTGAAGGAATCCCGTAAATAAAATTAAAAAACTAATCGGACACATTTCAGATTCCTTAAAGATTTGTTTTAAAGCTTGATCAGCCCTTTTTACATCATTTTTTACATCAAGACTTTGCACTTCTGTGGAAGGAGCCATCGTCAGAGACTGATCAACCAATCAGAAGCAGGCTTGAATTAAAATGAGAAGTTGCTTTACAAAAAAAAGAAAAGAATTTGCCACATATTCCAAAACATTTTCCTTTGATGATGAAAAGACTTATGTTCCAGATATTTCAATAAATACGTCAAATTTCAATTAAAGAAACATTTAAATTCAAGTAATTATGGATCATTTCAAAGCCATCTAAAGTTCTAAAACCTGTCTAAGCTTAACAACCAACAATGCTTTCAAATTCCTAGACTGCAATCAGCAGAAGTAAGAGTCATTTTAACACCAGCTATGGTTTTACAAGAGACCAGAAGAAAAGTCAGGAAAAAAAAAAAACTCCTTTGAGTCTTCCCCCTATCCATTCTTGTGCTCACAAACTCAGTTGTCAGCTGTCCACATTTTGGCTAAACATATTCTCGGCAAATTTAGAAGAATATTTGGGTTTGCAGAATTACAGGAAAGCTCCATAATATTCATGTCAACATCAGCGCACCGCAGGATAATGCTGCTGGTGTATACAAGACATCTGCTGCCGGTAACAGCACTGAAAAAATCCACAATAAACAGGCCAAAAAAGTTCCACAGCCCCCTCCCATGTCCAGCTGCAGCATGTTGGAGAGTTCAGACATCTTTAGAGAAAACCGTCTGAACAAAAGCAACAAGCAGGTGTTTCTCCTCTTCCTCAGCTAACCCTGGACCCTCTGGAAGACGGGTAACACAATCAATTTCTTCTTGATATAAAAACATGGATGACCTTGGATGTTACATTTTTAATTAGATGCAGAGATTTACACAGAACGGTTTGTGGGGTTACGTGTACTGCGATTAAATCTTTAAACAAGAAGATGAAGTTTGGTTGTGCAAATGTAGTTGGTGATGCCTTAAAAAGAAAAAGAAAACTTCTATTTTATTGAGATTTTTTTTTTTTTTTCAGAGAAATTAGAGCATAATTCTGAAGTGGACAGAAAAAATGTAAAAAATATTTTTACAACTAAAACCCCGAGAAGCCTTCAGCCAGTACTTTGTGGAATCACCTTTTTCTGCATTACTTTTGGGTTATGTATAGAAACTGATTTTGCCATGCGACATGTAGGATATTATTTTCCAACAACCTTATCCCCGACTTGTCTGCTGCGTTCCTTGGTCTTCATAATGCAGAAAAAACACCACAGAACAGCTGAATTTTTACAGAGATTAAATTACAATCAATTGGACTCTACTTACTCATTTTAAAGGGTATTTTTTGCGCTGAGTTTTATTTTGCGGCGTCAGAGTAAGGGTGGCTGAATACAAATGCAAACAGCACAGATTCTTACCAATATAAGATTCAAGAAACGTTTCTTTCAGTTACCTGCTATGCACTCTTTGTGTCAATATAACACCTAAACTCTCAATAACAAACAGTGAAATTTATGGTTTTAGGGAACTGTAAAAAGAACTGTAAAAAAAACTTCAAGAACTGTTAGCACTTTTGCAAGACACCATATGTTCTGCGGTGGCTGAAGCTTGGTGCCTCAGTGGCACACAATGCTCAATTTAGTAAAGCGATCTCTAAATAGATCTCGAATGGCACCGTCTGCTGCAAGTGGTCGTTCTGTAAGCAGGCTGGCGTGCTTTTGGTTTAAACAGAGGGGTTTTGTGTTTCCTCATTGTGATTTCCTCCGGGTAGTCTCTGCAAACTCTCATTACGTGGTTCTTCTCGACATAAACGTGGCCACACAGATGCCACCGATAGCCGTTTCCATAGAAAGCGGCTCCAATGATCTACACGTTGTTTTTAGCAATCGGCACTAATGTTTTGAAAAGCATACAGCGATTATAGTACCCCAGGCCACTGTAAAAAAGAAAACGAAAAAGCCGACAGTTAAATCAGGATTTTCCAACCGTGCGTTCTGGGCCACCTTCTGTAATTTTATTCCAGTTGGGTTACGGGATCAGGATTAGGTCCACACCTTAAAACCTTTGAACTGCAAGCAGCTCATTAGCGCCTTCTTTAAACCTGGGCGTCGCAGTTCAAACGCTGCACGGCTCGGAAAGAAGAATTTTAAGTGAAAATGCCTCCGATTTGAGTCAGACACACAAAAGGAGGTGTGTGCTGGAGTGTTTATTTTCAGAACTGGTGAGTGTGTCAGTGTTTGTAGTGAGCAGCGAGTGTTTCGTTGGGGCTTTGGAAGGGGGTGATGATTGGGAGTGGCAGGGTTTGATGGAATAGGGGGGATTAAAGGGAGGGGAAGAAGAAGAAGTAGGGTTAGGTGTGGACTGACTACACGGCTCCGGAGGGCCGATGCGTCATTTGTCTGTGAAGGAACAAGGAACAAAGCTCTGGTTTGTTAGCTCAGATAAAAATCCTCTCATATTTCTTCTGTTATTTATCGGTTTTGGCTTTTGAGCACTCTTTGATCATGCAGTAAAATATCTTTTAAGAAGCACTTCAAGCACATCCTGGATTTACAGGCGAATTACCAATCTCATATATTTAACAGTATTTATGAGCTTTAAGTGACAAATAAATCATGAATAAATCCTGACATTTAGAGTGTTCATGAATTTCAGTAACAGTAGCTTTTCCACCTCACAGCCCCACCAAGTGGGTGACTGCAGGAATGACCGCAAAGTGAGGGAAAAATAAAATTCACTATAAATTACATGTCTGGATTTACATTGAATATTAATGAGAGAGAGAGACATGGGGGATGAAAGGACATAAGAATGTGTTTTAAAGAAAACTGGAAGAACAGATGGTGCTTCTGCACCTTTTGCTTCATATTTATGGTGTCACATAGTTTTATCAATTGCTTTAATATGGATCTTCCCTAGACATAATATGGATCATGTCTAATATTTCTAATATGTAAAAAAAATGTCTAATATTTCAATGTTCAAATCAACTTTTCAGCCATTTTTAAAAATAAATACTCACCTATATGAACGTAAAACACATTGCTTTGCATTAAAAAGTATGAGTATTTCATTCATATTTTGTCAGATAATCCTCCTAAAAATATTATTAAAACAATATATGTGATATTATTAAGTGGAAGTTGAATAACATGACTTCCAAAGTTTTTTTCTTAGTTTGACAGTTTGTAGAATGAGTTGCTTTCTCCTTTGTGCCATAGCTCATTTAGGATGCACTCAGGAAAACGAACATTACATTTTATTTCAGAGAAGCCAGATTTAGAGCGTGGACCGAGCTACTTAACTTCCCAACATCTTAGTTTTTTTATAACGGGGAAGAACATTTTCTTCGGGTCGTACAAGTTGATTTTTTTTACAAGCATAAAGGGGTTCATACTGTAAAGAGCCCTTAGGTTTACACCACAGTAAACAGAACTGATTGCTGAACGTGCAATTTTATTCTCAAATACTCCCTACCCACAGCTGGAACACAAAATGATCCATCGTCGTTCCGTTTCACAGCTAAAAGTCCAAGTTTTACAACACTGAGCAATCACATAATAACCCCTATTATGAGCTTATTCCTCTGAATGGCTTTACATTTATGAAGTAGCTATTTTTAAATGTAATTTTTTTTAATGACAAAGCAACTGAACTGTTAACTATGAGGGGGGAGGAAAAAAAACAAACAACTCAAGTGTGATGCTAGGCTTCCTGCTTGGGCAGCTTTTTTAATTTAATTGTCAGGTTGAAAAGCATTTTATGTTCTGCACTCTGTCCTGAATACCTCAATGCCTTTTTTGGAAATACATGGAGGAGCATAATTATCAGGGTTTCTTTATGGGGGAGAATATAACTTGTACTCTGGCTTTCATGACTGTTTTTCTATGTCACACCTGCTGTTTACCTACACTGCTCAGAGTGAAGGATATAATGCAACTTTGACAGATATTTGCCTCTTTTCAGCTGCTATCAAAACAACACTCCCCTTATTCTCATCCCAATCTTTTACCACGTTCCCCTTCTGAACTAATCTCATCAGGCACAACTGTCCTTAAAGCGTTGCCAAAACAAGGCTCTGCTGCAAAAATGTTCCTCTTTACATGCAATAACAGGTCTAAAAAATGTAGCAACCCTTTCAAAGCTCTGAGTTATAATACCAAAGCCGACGGTTTGAAGATCAGAGTCAGCAGGTGGAATCTGTTCGCTCGAAAACGTTGCTTGAGTAATTGCTTAAGTGTTTAACTCCATTGCAATGCACATTAGGTGCTTCTCATTCTGACATCACAGCTGCATGTTTTGGCTTGAACGCTGTTCACGTCTAGTGAAATTCAGAAGCTGCTGCAAATGAGAGGGGTATCACCTTACAGCGACCCTTGTCTGGGATGAAGTCATGTGTGTCATTTGCATCTAATGGTGAAAACAAAACAAAACAAAAAAAAAAAAAAAACCCCAGAGTTTACACTCTTGTGATCCAAATGTAAGGGAATATTTTTACCCTAGCTGCGTATCAAAAATATGTCAACACATCTCATCACTGCCAAATAGTTATGTCAGTAGTAAGCTTGGCTGGTTTACAGGAATCAGGCCGCCTTTTGATGACAGAGTTAATAAAAATGAAAAGAAAGAAGGAAAAACATATATATAATCTACAACTGTTAGTCACAATAAGTTATTTTAACAACATACCTTTTTAATCCTTAGCATTGAGCACAGGTTACAGCCGTTCTGGCCACGAACCAAAATGTAAAGGTCTCACTGTGCTCTCTAAAGACATAAAAAGATAAATCTGGATTGAGTCATACTGTATAAAAAGCATTGTTAGAAAGTGGGTATCTTCATTTCACACCTACTTGTTCTGGTTAAAGTCTCCACATTCGTTGAATTATACTGTAGTTTAGTTTATTTGCCAAAATAGAACCAAAAAGATGAACTTACGGTAGCTTAAACTAAAAAATCAACACAGATGACACTGGTACCAGGTGCTGATTGGACACCTGAACCAAATGAACGGCAGAGCTGAACTACTTCCTTAAGAGGGAACGGAGTCATTCGCTTTCAGTAGATTTATAAATGCGGTACCTACCAAATAAAATGTGGTTGTCTTATGGTTACATTAATAACGGACTCCACAAATATTTTCTGGAAGAAAATGTTCATCATTTATAGAAAATGAAGTGGGGGAGGGAGCACTTTTAGCAGCCTTAAATAAAATGTCTTGCACTGTCTGCTAGGGAAATTATGTCCCAACGTCCCATAAAAGCATTGCAATAAATGTCAAAACTCTTAAACTTTATCTTTAAAGCACATTGAGCAATTTTATATAATTTCGCGTTAGATTTATTAAGAAATCAATGTGAAGGACCCCAGAGATCCGTAAAGAACACAAAAACTCAAAAGGCCATTGACAGTCTGATTCAAAGTAACAAAAGAGGCAACTAAATACAAACAAAACTGGTTTTACTCACCATTAACGCTCAGATGAAACCAAACCCACACCGTCCATTTGGTCATTATTACTCCAGGGATATGTTCTGAAAACTGACCGTTAAACCTCTGCTGTATTAGCATTTTTTTGTTCACGGCATCCAGGACCGAAGCTGCACATTAGCCAAACTTTAACACCGCGATCATTTTTATGGTTTAATTATGATTTTAAAAAGGCCACACAAAAAAAAGAAAGTCTGCAATACACTGGTAGCTTTGGGCTACATTCTTTGTACGCTGAACATTTATCCACTGTTACATCTCCAGACTTTTAGAAAAATCGTTAGATTAGCTAACAACCTGTGGAAGGGGAAGGACCCGCCCACTGACTGCAATCCAAGACGTGATTGGCTGATTTTTAGCTTGAACCTGAACCAAAAAGAATATCCTCGGAGAAAACAAATTCTACCTAGCAACCTCAAATAAGGATCTCCGATTGGCTTATATTTTTGTACCTGTTACATACATTAACAATAAAGCACGTATCTTGTAGAGGAAATCTGGAAAACTCTTTTTTTTAAGAAGAATAATTTCTCTGATTATTTTTTTTTTTTTATTTAACTTAAATATTTTGGACAAATTTGTTAAATTTTGGCCTACTTCATGTTCTTAGAAGGGTTCAATTTATGCCCTTTCTTGATTCTCCAGGTCTACAGGTAAATTAATCAGGGAAACTGAACCAATATCACAGATGACTAACAAAACGTGCCAGCCACTTTGTTTTCAATTTTGGGTTGACTTCGTTGGGTAAGAAATATCATTTATCTGCATTTGTATTGACTCTAATTACATTTGTTTTACGATCTAAAAAGTTTTCATATGACCAAAAAATAAAACAACAGGATAAATCTGTTACAGAGGAAGAAAATACTTTTGTTTCTGGAGTTTCTCTAGGGCAGCCTTTTTACGTTGTCCCAAAAGATGATTGATCAGGTTAGGAAAACTACAATAATGTTTCACCTGAAACATGGCTTCATCATTTCCGATTTGACACATACTGCCAGTTTTCAACAAGCCATTGTCTTGCTCTTTCTCTGACTTATTACAGAGCTTAAAAAAAGACTGCTAGTGAAAATCCAAATTCATTAGACGAAGCACCATAACATAAAACATTCAAAACAACAGATGTAAAAAGCTGCTTCTGTAAAATAAGCTACAAAATTAGCTTTCAGGGATGCTTAGTTGACCAGACAAAACGTTAACCTGCCCAGTTTTTTTTAATTTTTTTATATTAAGAGCAGTACACATAAAAAGTTGACTAAAAATAACCAGTAATTTTTCTACAAACACAAGACACTGCGGGGTATACTTCATTACTATAACAAGGACAAATCAGACCCCACATTTGCATTGGAAATGCTAATAATAAATCTGTGCAGCCGGCATTGAATGTTGTCTTATCAGCTCCTCCATTCTTCATTCTGTCACTGCGTTTGACTAGCCCTAAACATGAGTGATGGCCTGTCAGTCAGTTTTAACCTTGACATGCTGAGTGCATCCCACAAAAAGAATCACCCACCCCTCTAGAAACAACACAAGCAAAAGAAACAAAACCTTAGATTTATGTTTCAATCTGAATTTTACAAATATGTAAAACTGCAAACTCATTTCTGATTTCATTGCGTCACTCCCAACTCAATCGTCCTTTTGCACACCAGCAAAAACAGATAGTCGAAGAAATGTAAATATACCTGAATTCAGCACCCGTTTTAGCTAATCTCTGCTACATATACATGGCCTTACTTGGTTATGGTTCATAAAACACATAATTCAAAGCTAGCTTGACCTTTTTACTCATTTTTTTTGTGTGTGCTGTTCAGAAAGTATTCAGTTTTTCACACCAAAGTCGACATAAATCACTTGACTGCAAATGTTTAAGAAAAATGAGTGCTTCTGAACTTAAGGTCTTTCCACTGCTTAGTTCTGACAGTGACATGGTCCTGCAAAACATTTGCTTATGAATGTAATATTCTGGGAAAAAGGAGATACTTTACTAAGTTAACAGCATTATTTCATGATAGATCAAAGTAAAAAAAATATGACTCTGTGTAGGATTTCAAAAGTCTACCATAAATTTAATTACACAGATGAGTTCATGTACTGAACCATCCCAACACTTAAGGTCAGAATGTGCTTTGGTTTTGACTCTCCCCTCCTTCGTCGTCACGGTAATTCAAAGGAAATGCTGCAGACAAATGCTTTCCTGCCGGGTCACAGCAGAAGAGCTGATAAGGCAAAGAGTTTGCAAGCTGTGGCAGTTTTGTTTCTTGTTTGGGTGTATATGGTAGGCTGGGTGATAGGTACATGCATCAAATATTCATGACCTTATCCCTGATGAATACTGTATATAAGCAAGATTTAGTCTGACTCCTGCTCGGTGCAGTCAGAGCAGAGCGTACATCAAATTGCGGGCAAGCACATGAATACAAATCAGCTGAACCAGCCGCACACCATGTATTAACTTATTTCCAAGGTTGAAATCTGTTCTGCTTTTTGATACAGATGCAGGACAGCGCTGAGACAGGACTGCTCTGACATAAGGTCAGACTTACAAAACTGGCCTTGCAAAAGTATTAGCACCCCACTGAACGTTACAATCACAAACTTCAGGGGGTGAGGAGAAGATGCATGCCACACTTTCCAGATTTTTATCTGCAAAAAAATAAATAAATAAATAAATAAAAAGAATTACAACAGTACTGCTTAAAGCTGCAGTATGTAATGTTTATATAAAGAAGTGTTTGACATATTAGGTAAAATTATCATTATGTTGTCACAGTGTAAGCTAGACTAAAGAAAAAACAAAAATCAAGCTTCTCTGCTGAGCACCCTGCAGAGGAAACTCATTTCAGCCTCTTGTAACCATGATCTCATTCTTTTTTTAATGTAATTGAACCTTTATTTAATCAAGTGACTTATTAAGAACAAATTCTTATTTACCTGGCAGAGAGAAAGTAAATCAAGGTAGATCAAGCAGCACACTTTTACAGTAAACAAACATTAGCAACACTGTTGAAGTCATAAAACAATAAAAACACTACTGAGGCAAAGGATAAAACTGACATTGAATATTTAACGTGCAACACAGCATCTTTAAGATATTTTTGAAGGTTACCATTCGTGCCACCCAGTGGCGCAAATTAGAGGGTATGCACTGTGTGCAACGCATAAGGGCGCTGTGCTAAAGGGGGCGCCAAAACAATTGCGTAAAAATTACAGTTGTTTGCCAATATATAAATGATGAGATCTGTAACAGAGGTGTGCCTATAACACAAATAAGAACGAATAATGTTGTGCCTCTATTCGTGACCATAGATGAGAGTAGGAATGTTGATACACACCGTCTCCATGACAAACCAGTACAACGCTCACATCGCCGCAGGTAGCGCACCAATCCGCCTACCGATCCATCTTTCAGGAACAACACTCTGACATACTTGAACTCCTCAGAACCTCGTTCTCGACCCAGTTAGGCCACTTCCCATTTTCCGTGGTCTCAGATTTTGATGTGCTGATTTTCATCCTGGCTTGAAAAGTGTTTCTGTGAAAGCTGTAGATCACAGTCCGATGAAACCAACATAACCAGATCATCTGCAAGAAGCCAAAACCTGATCCAGGTGGCCACCAAAACAGATTCCCATCAACATCTTGGTTGCACCTAGAAATCAGTGATAAAGGGCAACTTTATCACTGAAAATGAGTTATTTCAAGCAATTCAAACCAACCTCTGGTACTGGTCCTACTTCTGGAACAACAAGGATTTCATTCCAGAAGTTTCCCTCGCATGATTCCCAAAAGGACATGGTCAAACGGCTACACTTATTGGGTGAACTACCATGCACCCTTTGTACTCACTACCTTACTTTGTGCTTGTCTGATAAATAAAATTACAACTAAATACATTTAATTTTATTGTGAAAATGTGACAAAAGGCGAAAAAGTTCACGTGGTGTTAATATTTTTGCAAGGCACCGAGTATGTAGGTGCAGAAAAATCATGTTTCAGAAGGAAAAATATCAGTCAGTCCAAAATGGTTTATTTTGTAAAGGGGGGCAGGTGAAGGAGATGAGAAAACATGGTGTGCTGCTAAATGATATATTCAAATGTACATGTAATTCAAAGGGTATTACAGTCATCACTCAATATTTTGTTTTTTTTTTTCTTTTCTTTTTTTTTTTTACACACATGAAGTCTTCACTCCAACATGGTTTCCAGATGTAAATGGATAAAAAGTTTATATCATTGTCAACATAAAAATAAGCATCAAGACGATTAATCCTTGGGATGCTGAAATTAATTTAGAAAAAAAAAGTTACATGCAAAATGAAGACTGATGGATTCATTTTCTCAAGCTGGAAAAAAAAATAACTCCACAAAAATAAACATGAGTAACTAAAACACATTAATTCAGATGACAATTTAAGGTGAATCCTTCTGCCCTTTTGTCCTCAAATAATTAAATCACATTAGCGGAAACTGCATTGTTTGAGTCTTTTATTCACTATAATATAGGTCAATAGGAAATATAAGAAACTGCTAGTAATGACAACTTGAGTGATCTTGGCTAGCCATTACAAACAGCACGTATGTGTTGAGATGCATTATGAAAATCACTACCCAAAATAAATTACATTTGCCAAAACCTAACGCACAGACTGGTTGGAGGGAAGTAGAAGGAAGGGTTAGGAGGAGAGTCGGTCTGGATGTAGGACCAACAGACTAAATGACTAGTCAAAACACACTGTGAACGAAGCTCCTCTGGATGTGTGGAGTCCAGAGGTACGGCTGTAGAGTGAGTATAAAGGTCCCAAAGTAGAAACTGCAGTCTTAACATGTGCCATACTTAAAATGTAGAGGAAAACACCCTTACACTCATCAATATGATGAGCAGAAAAGTCCCAAACCAAAGCTTTGAAGTCTTTATTTTTGCTGTCAGGAGAGAAAAAAAAAATACTTGAAAACAAAAATAAAACACAAAACAGGAGAGGGAGGGAAGAAACGACTCCAGATATTACGCTGAATGCAGAGAAGATGAACTGCACGAGTTGGGTGAGACACTCCGGCACAGGGGGTTATTTCCTGGAGCTAGACTTCTAATATCCAAAAGTACTGGTCTGGAGGACCCATATTGGTCAAGGGCTGTCCATGGAGATGCCTACAGTAAAATACCTCAACAGCGGCATCTTAGCAGGCTGTCCAAGAGTGACGCTATGTGCTTCCCGCTGCCTGGTTCTCGCCTCCATCTGAATTACCTGCAGGAAAAGAGAGGAAATTGGTGGAAATGTCACTGCGGGTGAGCAGCCTCAATATATTAAATCAAACCCAGCGTGAAAGCGCAAAAAAACGTAATTTTCTCCCGAGGTGGCCAAACATAAACATGCTGGTTCGTGTCTGTTTCAATTTTACATTTTGGCAAACAAGTCAGACTAGCAAATTAAGACCAACAACATTTACTTCA